GAGAGAGAGAGGAGAGACTAAAAAGTAGAGAAGAGCACAAAGATGTGTTTGTTTGTTTTGAATTTCATGCAAAGCTACACAAGGGCTATCCATGCTAGCCATCCCTAATTTTGCAGTGAAAGACTAGAGGGAAGGCAGCTAGTCATCATCACTCACCGCCAACTCTTGGGCTACTATTTTACCAACAAATAGTGGGATTAACCATCTCCTTATAATGCCCCCACTGCTGAAAGTGTGAGCATGTTTGGTGGGAGAGGGATTCAAACCCGTGACCCACAGATTACGAGTCAAGCGCCCTAACCACCTGGCCATGCCGGGCCGAGCACAAAGAGAAAGAGAAGAAAAGGAGAGAGAGTAGAGACTAGAAATAGGGATGAATAGGAGCACAAACTGAGATCACTAAGCTCACCAAACAGAAAGATGAAGGACCCAAGAATGACAATGGGCAAATCTGATGACCAAAAAGATGACATGGATGCTTTTCTGGAGAGGTATGAAAGATTTGCCCAAAGTCAGAAGTGGGACAATGACAACTGGCCAGTCTGTCTCAGTCACCATCTCACAGGAAATAGCCTACAAGTTTATGTGTGCATGACATCAGAGGATGTTAAAAATGGCCTTACTGAAATGTTATGAACTTACTGAGGAAGGTTTTTGCACAAAGAGAAACTGTATTTCAGTTTGTGGCACGTCTATGGTGATACTTCAAAAGGTAGACTGATATGGCCAAGTGAGAAGATAGTTTTAAAAGACTGGTAGATCTACTAATACGTGAATAGTCCATGATCATCTGCTCCACTGACATATCACTGTTCCTAAAAGAAAGAGCACCAAAAGATGTGGACAAGATTATCAAGTTGGCAGAACAATATGTGGAAGCCCATGGAGGGAGTATAACAGGCCAAGTCCAAGAATAACCAGTCAAAGTCTAAGCCAGGGATGGCTGACCAGAAGCAGTATGCCACCAAATGTGACAAGAAGTCAATAGACAAAAGGGAAAAAAGAGATGTTATGCTTCTTATCAAATGGTTACATTGCAAGTGGGTGCAAGTCTATCACCAACAAGCAACTGTAAAAATCTCAACACAAAACAGCTTGAGCTACCTACAAAGATGGTGATTGCAAGAAACAAGAAAAGAGTGACTGTGACCATGGATGCTGCTGCCAGAAGAAACAGAATAGAGGCAACTTGCCAGATTCATCACAAGAAGGACATGCTATCATCATGATTAAACAGTGCATGACTGATGGTCAGCTTAAATTGGCAAATGGATCAACATTGTCAGTGGTGGCCAGAGCATGTGTAAAACATTGAGAGGTGCTAACAAACCACAACATGCCAGTAGGTGAAGGCTATGTCGGGGACAAGAAAGTGAAAGTCTTATGAGACACTGGGTGAAGCAGTGCAGCAGTGAGAACCAATCTAATATCTGATGATCAGATGATGGGCAAGATACATCTGTGTGTGTGCTGACTGATGTGACAGTGAGAAAGTTTCCCATAGCAAGAATAAAGATGGACACTCCATACTACAAGGGAGACCTCGAGGCCATGTGTATGAAGGAACCCATCTACAACATGGTGATTGGCAATATTCCAGGCAGTAGAAGTTTGGAGGAACCAGACAGAAAGGAGATTAATGAGGCATCTGCTGTCACCACAAGAGGTCAAGAAAAGAAAAGCAAGCAAGACACAAAACCCATCGAAAAGTGACATGTAAGTTTATGGGAACTAATTAAAACACAGAAGAAAGACCCTTCACTTCCTAAACTTTGAAACAGTGTCTGGGTGAAAGTTGAGCAAAAGACAAAGTGGAAAGGGGCTTACAGAACAGAGGAACAGAAAGGAGTGCTACACTAGATCTATCAAAGCATTTCTACTGGGGAGGTTAAACAAATCATAGTACCAGCAGAATACTGGACTCAAGTGATGAAGCTGACTCTCAAGTCAATTGTGAGAGGACACCTAGGAGCAAAGAAGATGTCAGATAAAATCACCAGCAACTTCCATTGGCCAGGGGTATTCAGAGATGTGATCAGATTCTGTAGTTCATATGACATCTGCCAAAGGACAGTACCTAGAGGGAAAGTAGCCAAGAGCCCTTCAGCAGAGTATCTGTGGATTTGATTGGACCACTAGCAACTGTATCCGACAAGGACAACCAGTATGTGCTGACAGTAGTTGACTATGCGCCATGTTACCCAGAAGCCATAGCATTCCTGAATATAGAAGTGGAGAGAGTAGCAGAAACCCTCCTAGAAGTGTTCTGTAGAATAGGCTTTCCAAAAGAAATTTTCAGTGAAAGAGGGACCCAGTTTACCTCAGTATTGATGCAAGAGTAGTGCATACTAAGCAGCTATTTACCACCCCATACAACCCCAGATGTAATGGACTTTGTGTGAGAGAGAGAGTCAACAGAGTCTTAAAGAGTATGATGAAGAAGATGTCCCAGGAGAGACTACTTGTTTGAAACAGGTACCTGCAGGCAGTATCATTTGCTTACCAAGAAGTTCCACAAGTAAGTACAGGATTTTCCCCCTTCGAGTTTAGAAGCAGTAGTTTATCACAGGTTTGTTTACATAACTGTGTAGGAATCATATGTTGTGTAGTCCCATTGTTAGAAATTGGTGCTTATTTTACTACTGCATCATGTTACTAGAACCTTCTAAGTTTTTCTCCTTCTTTTGAATGAGTATTATTGATCATAATATCTTGTAGTGTGTAAAAGATTCTAGGCCTTGGTCAGGCTATAAATACGTGTACAAAATGTAGTTTGAATCAGTTAGACATAGTTAGTTAGATAGATAGCCAGATATTGACAGCATGATTGTGAGTTTAGCCATAAAGAGTTATAGTGGTGATTTTAAAGTGAAGTAACTACAGACTGTATTGTAATAACAGAATAGAGAAGAATAATTCATCTTGTCACTTGGGTTCTAAAGTAACTGAATGAACCTGTTTGGACTTGTGGTAATTAACAGTGAGATGAACATTTGTATATACAATTGACTTATATTAATATATATTATTTTAAAACAAGTGGGCTATGTACTGTTTGTTTATTGTTGAAATTTTGTCACCAACAATTCACAGACACCTACTGTAAAGGATCCAGCCTACCTATACATAAAAACTTGACACCAGGCCTGGAAGAATAAAATTATATATCCCTTCCATACTTTTCTCGTACCCATGGCAACCATGTTCTTAGATATATATTGAATTTGAACAAAAATATTTTGGACAAAGATCACAATATAATGCCTGACAAAAGTATCAATGATGTTCTAGATCACCAAATAACCTTTGTGAGTTTTTGCCATGTTTTTATTTTTGAGAAGTGGTGACTACTTCAATCAGCAAAATAAAGTAACAAGAGAAATGTGTTAATGAACACCAAGTATGTTTAAACTAACTGTACTGTCCCTCAGTGGATCAGTGGTATGTTTATGTAGTTACAACATTAAAATCTGAGGTTTAATTCCCCCACCTCCACCCCCCCATAGTAACAGAGTATAGATAGCCTATTATGTAGCTTTGCACCAAAAAACAACTTATAATCACTAATAGAAAATATGAAAATCTAAGATTGAAAGAAGTATTTTTAATGGGTTTTTTAAAAACAGCCCTTCACAACAAAATTTGGGAAATTTCACAACCTAAAAAATGATAGAAATAATAATCAAATTAATGAATATTTTTAATCAAAAACTAGATACAAGTTTGTACCAACTTTCATACACTGTGGTTAAGTATATCCATTGTGAGAATTAAATAATCATGGGATATCAGTGATACTTCTCTGTTCTGGAAAAGATTTAACTAACAACTGTACATTAACTTCATCATACCAATTTGGTAAAATTCAGATATGGAATTACAAACACAAATGCATGCAGCTAGCTTACTTAAAGATCCCCAACTTTCTTGAATGTATTGTCCATGCAGGCTGTTTTGAGACACAACCAAAGAGTCACTGCTTATTATCTCAAGCTGCTGATGTATGTGCATAGCCTTTTTACTCTGTTTCAGTAAGAACTTGATGTGTGAAAAAAATAATGTCACTTGTAGTTGCCATTTTGTAACTGTATTGCATGTCACAGTTTACTCATATTAACATGCTCATTTACTCATATCCTATGTTGCTTTCTGAACATCTTCATAACAGTTTAATACCAAGTCTCAGTAACAGTCATTCAAAAAATTTAAGGAAAGTAACTAACCTGATTATAGAAGAATCAATAAAGTGATTCAGTATGGAGTAATACTCTTGATGAACTAACTTCACAGCTACCATTCTGGTTTTGTGATAAAAACTAGTGTAAAATTTACGGGCAAAGAAAGCTCTATGTGCTGCAATGTGTAGCTCTTCAATATCCTGATCTTCAAACACAGCTGGACCCTACAAGACAAATAAGACATATATATTCAAAGTACTATATACATTTTACACATACATTTATTTTCTGCACTGACAACAATGTCCATTTTACACAGAAATATCAAATTATCCACTCATGTCTCCCTGTATATAGACGTTACATTATTATAGAAATAAAATAGTTTTTATTTGCATAAAATATCTCTTTCATTTATGATTAATGCTATTTTGAAATTCAACTGCACCAGGAGAGTTCAAGAGAAGACAAGATTGGGCAGTTAAAAGATTACATGTAGTTTCAAATCACTGTTAATGAAACCCTAATCTAAGGAAAATGGAAATGGGGATGAAATGGTTTTAATGACCATCATAAGGAATAGTTATTATTTGGTGTTGTTGCTTATGGATTTAGAGTGAAACTGAGGAGAAAAGAAGTTCCTTTATTAGTAAACAAAGATACAACTAAGTGAAAACAGGGAGTGCTATAAATTCCAAAGCCACAAAATGTTACTGAGATTTGGAGACTGAATGACTTTGTGGAACACCGGGGAAAGTTTTTACCAAGGTTCATTAATGTGTAAACTTTTCCATATCTTGATGCAAACTTTGGTAGCTAAACTGCTCTAGTGTAAGTCATATCATATCCAACGTTAAAATAGCATGATTCTGCTTTAGGTAATACATTTCAAACTGGGTTAGGAGATGCATTAATGCAGAAATAACATCCATTTGCTTATGACAACAGTCTTATTAGAGCAAAAAATGAGATATACAAAAGTAAAAGCAGCATGCTCTCCCAATTGTGAAGGTGATGCTCTTGATACATCAGTTCTCTGCTGATGTAAATCTCAGTTACCTGATCTCTGCAAAATCTAGAGGTTTAAGGATTTAGTACATGAAAGAACTAGTGTCTTGATTTATCACAGGTGAGATGAATGAGAGAAGACACAGTGTTGCAGTCAAAATAAAAAAAAACATTTCAGTTTGCTGGAGAAAAGAAATAGTAAAATATGGGTGATAATCACATTAGTAAACATCTTGCAAATAAAGAATTAAAAATGTAAAAATAGAAAATGAAGCAAAATGCATTTAATGAGGGATTAATGTATGATAAGCAAATAAGTGAAAGTTAAAGTAACACAGATCATTCTTAATCAGCAAACCTGAAATTCTCAATTAAGTTTGAGACTAAACCTTCTCTCCTTGGAGGTCAGAAAGAAATATGATGTGATAGCAGAAAAACTATATTCATATCGATCATTCTATTTGCAGCTGACCAATCAGAAAATAAGCACCAGAATACACAAATACCTTTTCCACAGCAGTCCTCCCTACTCAAAGTAAAGCAGGATAAAATACAACTATTGCATGAAATATTAAATAAGTGTCTTGACTGAACTAGCTACAGTAAGTAACTCTGTAGGCTGAATATAGTATGACTTCAACCAGATTTAGCAAGTTCTAGAGTAGAGCTTAGAAAAATTTCAAAATATTGTAAGGATGAAATATACACTAGAGGAAAGTAAAGTATACAATGCCTGACAAGGATAATTATGATGCCATTTTGAAAGATGAAGTCCTAAACCATCGATAAACCTTTCAGCTTCTTTCCTCTCTTTTTAAAATTTGTAGATAAGTACAAAGCTACAAAATGGGCTATCTGGGCTATGGGTATCGAAACTCAATTTTTAGCATTATTAGTCTCCAGACTTACTGTTGTGTCACTAGGGGGCTAGTGGTGGACTGCTTCAATTAGTAAAATAAAATCCCAAAATAAATATGTTAATGAATATCAAGTAAGTTAAAACTGACTAGATATATAAAATGGAACAACAATGAAAAATAATTGAAATTCTAAGATGAAGAAAGTTTTTTTGTTTTTTTCAAACCAATGAAAACAAATTTTTGGAAAATTCATAATCTAAAAATTTACAAATATATAAAACACATTACATTGAATTTTTAAAAGGAAGAGCTGATACTATTTAGTAAGTTTCTAGTATGGTTTGCAAAATATGGTTAAGTATTTCTACTGTAAGAAGGAAAATATCAAGAGATAACTGTAACACCTCTCTTGTCCAGATAGGAAAGCACAGGATGCTTCTTTAGTTGTCAATTGATACGTCTTCCCAACTATATTAAACTTTAATATTTATTACCAAACACTGTAGGTGATAATCTGCACGCAAAATTGGAAAACCAAAAAAAGATACAGCACTACCACATTCCCAAACTGAGAATTATTAATCCAAAATTATAAGTCCAAAATAATAAGCCTAAAAAGAAAGTTTCCAAAAGATCCAATCTGCTTTATCTCACTTGCATTTCCTGCTGTAAAATGACAATGCAAAGTTATATTATTTTCAAAAGATATAGGTCAGTCCTCTCACTGAAACATTTGTTGTATAAAACTCTTTAATTTCAAACTGGAACCAAGAGGAAACTGTGAAAAGCAAAACAGCTGACAATATTACAGAGGTTAACACACAAAATTCTCCATTTTCCATGGTCCAAAATATAATCTTCATCTTTGGAAAACACAAATACTAAATGATAATTTGAAAATTATGTATTACTTCATTATTTTTGACAATAAATCTTAATCTATATCAACCTAAAAGTTCAGAAAGTTATTATTTTCCTACACTGAAAATATATTTCTGATAATAATGCTTAAAGACGGCTTGAATGGGTAATGAAGAAAAATTTTATTATAAGTTTAACATAACAGCAAATATACAACATTTCGACACGGTTTTGTCATCATCAGGTACAAGTAGTTTACAATGACACAGACATATATATATATATATATATACAGTATGGAACAAAGAGGTCACATGACCCGATATTGTTGCACGACTTAGAAGAAATATCTTGCCACCCCAGGGTGTTGGTCGTGTGACCTCTTTGTTTCATACTGTATATATATATCTATGTCAGTGTAAACTACTTGTACCTGATGATGACAAAAACTTGTTGAAACGTTGTACATTTGCTGTTATGTTAAAATTATTTTAATGTTTTTCTTCATTACCCATTCAAGCTGTTTCCAAGCATTATTAGTCTCAAAGTGGATTCCTCATCATCAGATATTTCTGATAAGTACTTACCTCTTCTCACATAATAGCTTTTCTTGTTCAGTGCTGCTCTCTTTATGCAAACTTTTTTTGCATGCTACAAGCCTTGAAACTCCCACCTATTCCACGATCAACATGGTTTATTGTGTCTTTGCATGTAAATTATCATATGGCACACCCTCTTGATGCTCATTACTCCCTCTATTCAATTCCACCAAGATTAGGCAGAAATGAAGCACTGGTAGTGTTGAGGAAGAGTGGGAAGTGTGAAAGTAGGTAAGGGCATATTAGAAATATATTTTCAGTGTACATTACTCAGATCGTAGCTAGAATCCCACATTGAAAAGGTGGAGGACCAGTGCAAGGTATATAGATAAGCATCCGAAAAACATCCATGGAGTGTGAACCTCTGTTGGGAAAGGAACACATGTGGAAGACCGCACCACTTCTATACCACATATGTTCTTCACACAGAGTGGTAGTAGGTGTCGCCTAAACTGGTGGAAATTGGGAGGATCACACCCAAAGAATGAGAGAAAAAATCTGGGTGGGTCCAACCTCACATAACAGTGAAATCTCCGGAATCATAGTTCAGGAGAAAAATTAATATAGGATTCCCAGTCACAGACCAGATGGTGGGGAGAGCTAAAATGGATGTTCCCCTTAGTGTAGAGTGGCTAGGGTGTGTCAGACTGTACTCAGTAGGTCAACTCCAGTCCAAAACCAGGTGATATTGGGCATACATGCTCCAGCCCATGGTAGGAGGAGGGTCCACACCATCTTCACCTCAAGTTGAGTAGAATGGAAAGAGAAACATTCCATACCAGATGACAAAACGACAAATCCACAACCAACACCATACAACCTCCGAACAACAGTAGGAAGGGATGTGCCAATGTGGTGGTTCACTTCAATTCCAAAACCAACTAGACCAGTTCCACTCTGCACAACATCTGCCACAGGTAGTGAACCTTCCTCAGGTGGTGCACCAGAGCGACTACATTCACCCCATGCAACATCATCTTCTGGATGGGACTATGCAGAAGCTGAAATGCATGGACAACTGGTCGACATCCCAAGAAACCAGAGAGCTGGCCCAAATCAAACTGGATCTGTGCAACATCAACCTTCAGGACCCACTAAACAGAGGTGGAGTGCATGAGGCAAAAATCTGTGATTGAGGAAGGATGAGGAGTCATGTCCAACACGTGTGAGGCTTTATATTGATTAGCTCTGCTCAAATTCAAAACCACTCACTGGGAACTGATATCCAGTCAATGGTAAGATGAGGGTTTCCAATCAGAGAGATGAACTGCAATGTGGTGGATCTACTCTAATTCATTGAATATACTATTGAGTTTCATGAGCAACATCATCACCCAGATAGGGTTGCACAGAAGCTGAAGCACATGGACGTGCAACATCAACCTCTGGGTCCTACTGCATGGAGGGGTGTGCATGAGTGGAGAATCTATGCCACCTACACCAGCAGAACACCACTGCCCCACTCTGTACTGAATGGAATTGAGCACATTCAGGAGTTTCATCCATGGTCCACTACACCAGTGGCTAGAAACTTAAAAGTGACAAGAACTCTCATATTCCACAAGAGGCAGTGCAAAGGGTGACCACAAAAACACTAGTTTGACAAGTTGACTGCTCCTGATTTATTCAATCAAAGAGATGGCAGGAATGGGCAGCAACCACCTTCTGCTTTACTCATGAAAGTTTATGGGTTAGTATGGTCTGGAATTGGCATGTTGTTGAAGCAAAATACCATGAGTAAAACCTACTAGTGATCTTGTAGAATACCCTATGTCAACAGTGTGCATTATTGGCCATGGGTATATATCAAGAATGGTTGGATTAGCCTCCACCTGAAAACAATTTTGACGAGGTGTCTCATACAACCCTTGCCATACTACTCTATGTAACATCAAC